ACCGACCCCTGTGGAACACCGCGTTGCATGTCCCTCGGCACTACAACGCCGTTCCGCCCCGTGCATAGCACAGACCTGTCTTCGAGATAGGCCCCGATCACGTCCCGAATGTAGGGAGGCGCGCGATGGTATTTCAGCGCCTCCCTAATAGTCGCAAAGGGCAGGGTGTTGAAGGCGTTCTTTATATCCAACGAGACCGCCAACAACACCCCACCCTGGGACGTCGCCTCTTCCGAGAGGGAGCGCACACGCGAGATCGCGTCAATCGTTGAGCGCCCCTCCCGGAACCCGAACTGCTTCGGGCTGAGATCGGGACCTACCTGAGACAGGTGTTGGACGAGTCGGCCCGCCAAGATTCGCTCGAAGAGCTTGCCGATCTCGTCCAACAGCACTATGGGGCGGAACGCCGAGGGAACCACCGAACCTGCAGGGTGCTCCGCTTTGCGGAGCAGGACCACTCTACCCGCTTTCCACTGATTGGGAAACCGTCCCGACTCCAGACACGCGTTGAACAAGCGCCGGAGTCGGTCCCCTAGGGTGTTTAGGGCCAAGGCCAGGACGCGGCCGTGGATGCCATCCGGACCCGGGGCGACGTTCTTGCATGAGTTTATCCACGGCCGCGGCGAACTCCTCCTCGGTAATGGCAGGAACCGCAGCAGCGCTGACGCCGCTGGCCTCTCCATCACTACCACGCGGCATCATCGGAGGAGGTGTGAAGGGAGGCTGTCTCGGGAACAGCTCCTCCGACACCTCCCCCAGCTGCTGCGGCTGGAGACCCTCTGCCACGGGGGGCGCCCAGGGGCGTAATTTGCCCCTGACGAACCTATAAGGTCGCCCCCATGGATCCCTGTCCAGGGTCTCCAGGAGTTCTTCCCTGGCTGTCTCCTTGGCCCTGCTGATGGACAGCTGCAGAGCTTTCTTCTTCTCTTTGTACTGCTCGTACAGCTGTGCTTCCTCGTCGGCGTCGCGGCCCCGCCTGAGTCGGCGGTGCCAGGTGTACCGGCGGCGGGCGGCGGAGCACTCCTCCCTCAACGCCGCTATCTCCTCCGACCACCAGTACACCTGACGCCTAGGAGGTCGAGGGCCGGCTCGGGGCATCGCCGCGTCGCAAATGTGCGACAGAGCCTCACCGAACCAGCCCACCTCTGCGTCGACCTCCACAGGCCCCTCCGGTATGGGAACCCAGGCCTGGACGATGGAAGCCTCCATCAGCACGTCTTTATTCAGACGTTTCAACACCCATCTGGGGAGTTGTGGGACATTCCTCTCCTGGCGACCGGGGTGCGGAGCTACGGGTGAGGGAGAACATCTATCCGGATATACCGATGATCGGATAGAGTCTCCACCTCATCCAACACCTGCCAGCTCCGCACCCTCTGTGCGATCGCTGGACTGCAGAGGGATGTCGACATGCGACTCCCCCTGCTGTCTCACGCACGTGGCGGCCGACCCTCTGTTCAACACCACCAGGCCGGCCGCGGCCGCCCAGTCTTCCAGGACCCTGCCTCGAGAGTCGGTGATGGGGGAGCCTCATGCCGTGGATTTGGCATTGAAGTCCCCCATCACCATCATTGGACGGGCCGAGTATAGCTCCAGAGCGGCCCCCAGCCCGTCCATGAACTGCTCGAACTCGGCGAGAGTCCTGTTCGGAGAGAAGTATGTCCCGACAACGACGGTTTCCCCCCAACTCACTCCTATGTACCCCGCTCCGCCGAATAGGCGGCTGACGAGCGGGGTCGCGGGGTTGCCCGCGCCGACAATGGCCACCAGGCCAGAGGGGTCGCCGAACCAGTGGTCACTACGTGGGACACGATATGGTTCGGCGACCACTGCAAGGTCAACTCCCTCCAAGGTTTTTTCGGCGGGTAGTTCTAAATCAAGTAACATATTGCTCCTAAAATTAAATACTTTTCTATAATTTAATCTAATTATTTAATAAAAATTTGTAGTGATTATAATTACTCTTTATTCAATACACATTACTTATTGGAGTCAGCACTATCATATGTGTACTTAAGAAGTTTCATCACTGCACCTACCTGCTGGTAACTTTCACACTATTTCACCTTGACTTTTCATCTTGGACCACTGATTCACATCATATACAGTGCTATAGTTGAGCATGGCCAACTTAGAGGATATTGCAGAGACTCAGCGCTCACTTGAAGTAACCTTATTCCAAAGGATGCAAGAATTTGAAGTCCAACTCAAGGCATCTAAAGAAGGTTCATCACAGCAATATTTTTAATATACTTCAAAAGCAGATTGAAGAGTTGACTAATTCTGTTGATGCAATTGAAATGTGGCACTGTAAAAAATCATTGCTTCTGAATGGAGTGCCAGAGAATGCAGAAGAGAATGTCACTGCCACAGTTCTGGATATTATACATAAGAACTTAAAACTGACAGACAATGTCATCGTCTTGGTTCTGTTAATGCCAGCCGAACATGTCCTATACTTATTAAATTTGGTGATGTTTCGTCTAAGTATGCTGTATGGAAAAATAAAACTATGCTGAAAGGGTCATGCTATGTTTTAACGGAGTTTCTGACCCGGCGCCGGCAGTCCTTATTTATCACCGCTCGCAAACACTTCGGCATACGTAAAGTTTGGACGCTTGATGGAAACATTACTGTGATATTGCCTAACGGCAATCGTTCTCGTATAATAAGGAGTTGGAAAGGCTGGTCGCTGAACATTGCAATGCTGTGTCGGGTGCTGCGTCTATTCGGGATGCCTCGAAGGACACTCCTGCGCTGAAGAGCCAGGCTGATACCAATAAAATGGGCAGAGCAAAGCGCGGAGCTCGACTCAAGTAGTTAATAATCGTAAACAGTTTGTATTTATAGTTTCTACGGTACTTTTCTCAGTAATGATTCATTAATATTACAATTTTGACGACGGTTGTCTCACTTTATATTTGTTAAATATTAACCCACCAGTTATTTTTATTGTAGTATACATTTACCTTCTATTTGCAGTAATTTATATATTAATTTTAAAACTAACCACTTACGTAAATATTTAAAATTATTTCAATGTCAATATCTCAGTATTGAGCTGTCAACTGTCACCTCAAATCAAAACAAACATTATGTCAAGTTAATATAAGTTAATTGTCAACGTCTGTCAAATGATTAAACTCTTAAGGCATGATGTCACTATGTTCAATTGAGTTTCTTGTTTTTGTTCTTTTTTTTTAAGTCTCATTTTCGATTGTTTTTTTTTACTTTTCTTATTTTGTTTACTTCATTGTTTAATTTTTGCATTTCATTACTTTATGTTTTGTTTTTGTATTGATTTCACATTTTTATTGTACCTAATCATTAGTGTTTATGTATGATTCTGCCTTTTTAACATTTTGTGTGAAAGTCTGCCGGCAGGTTGTGCAGAGTACAATGTAGCAAAGCACAAACTTTGCACTAGATACTTTTATATTTATTACCTATTGATTTTAATTTTTTTATATTTTATTTTATATTTTATTTAATATATTTATATATATATATATACATATATTCATTTATATTTATTGAATTAATTCTCATGGCATTGTCTGGCGATGATTCTTTTGTCTCTTCTCATGATATAAGCTCTTCGTTTTACTCCTGTTCTGATTCTGAGAGTGAACCCACCACTCTCCGCGATGATCTGAATGCTGAATTACGGCTACAATACAAGTACTTCAATGTATGCCATATCAATGCACAAAGTATCCCATCACATCACACTGAACTTCTGAATGCTTTCTCCCTGGATAGTGTTCACGCAGTCCTCGTCTCCGAAACTTTTCTTAAACCTAACTTGAATTCCTGTTTCTATAATATCCCAGGATACATCCTTATTCGGAATGATCGTGTTGGTAAGGGCGGTGGAGGAGTGGCGATTTACCTCCGCTCCGGTATCACTTATAAAGTCCTCGAAACCTCTCCTTCCCCTTATTCCTCTTCTCCCGAGTACCTTTTTCTTGAGGTCAACGTTAGTGGCATCAAAATTCTTCTTGGTGTAGTCTACTGTCCCCCTACTATCAACTACTTCTCTAAACTGGAGTCTGTCTTGGAAATTGTTACCTCTGAATACACTCATCATGTTATTATGGGTGATATCAACACTGATCTCCTTAAAGATACTCCTGAATCACGTAAACTTCGATCTATGGTTGAGTCTGTTAATCTTGCTATACTTCCACTAAATCCAACTCACCACAACACGAATACGGACGATACCTGGCTAGACTTAATCCTGACTACCCCGGGTGCTGTCATTAATAAACACGGTCAGATCAATGCGCCTGGTTTCTCACACCATGACCTTATTTATGCATGTTTAGATATTAAACCTCCGAGAAAGAAGCTGCAAATTTTACTCCTTCATAATTTTTCCAGAATCAATATTGAAAAGCTTAATGCAGATGCTGCAGCAATTGATTGGTCACGTTTGCACTTGGCATCAACAGTGAATGATAAAATTTCTATTTTTTACACTACATTACTGAAACTGTACGATGCCCATGCTCCAGTACGTCATGTGAGAGCGAAACGACCTCCTGCCCCTTGGATCACTCAGGAGGTACGGCTGGCCATGGCATGACGTGATCGAGCTTTTAGGAGGTATAGAAAGGATCGGTGTGAGGATAACTGGCACCTTTTTAAGGCTGCTCGCAATCGTTGCAACCAAGTGGTAAGGGCTGCCAAACGGCGTTACATTCATAGTAATATTCTCACGTCTTCTTCGGCTGATATATGGAAGTTTCTGAAATCCCTAGGATGTGGTAAATCCACCAACAATCTCAATACTTGTTCCCTCCCACTCGTTACTTTAAACTTTCATTTCTCATCGACAACCACCATTGATGCAGCTGTCAAAGCCGACACATTAAACTATTTATCTTCCATGCCTACTCTATCATTGACACCTTTCGATTTTTCATCAATAACCGCTGAGGAAACAAGAAGGTTAGTGACTTCTATTAAATCTAAGGCAGTGGGTTTTGACGAAGTTAGCAGAGCCATGATTCTTCCAATCCTACACAATATCCTCCCCGTATTAACTCATATTTTAAATTTTTCCTTACAGTCCTCAGAATTTCCTGATATTTGGCGTAAAGCATTTGTCCTTCCTCTTCCCAAAATTCCAAATCCCAAGTCTCCTTCTCAAGTACGTCCTATATCCATATTACCTTTTTTGTCCAAAGTCTTAGAGGGTGCCGTTTATAAGCAACTTTCGAATTTTGTTTACGCAAACAACTTTCTTAGTAACTTCCAGTCTGGATTTCGTCCCGGACATAGTACAACTTCGGCACTCATAAAAGTTACTGATGACATAAGGGATGGTATGGAGAATTCTCATGTAACTATACTTATTTTAATAGACTTTTCTAATGCTTTTAACACTGTAGACCATGGGATTCTCTTGTCCATTCTGAGTCACCTTGGTGTTTCCTCAGCAGTTAACAAATGGTTTGCTTCTTATCTTTGTGGTCGCCAACAGGCGGTTCGCACTGAACAAGGCACTTCTGTCTGGTCTGACCTGACAGCCGGCGTACCCCAAGGCGGTATTCTTTCCCCCCTGTTATTCTCCATTTTCATTAATATGATTACACACCATCTTAAATGCTCTTACCACTTGTATGCTGATGACCTACAGCTTTATACTCAATGTAATGTGTGCGACCTTGATGATGGTATCGACAAGGTAAACTCCGATCTCCGGGTCATTTGTGACTGGTCGCATAGATTTGGGCTAATGGTTAATCCTGCTAAGTGTCAGGCTATTTTACTAGGTAGTTCGCGGCAGTTGGACAGGATTGATCATGCCAGACTACAGAAAGTGGTATTTGGCTCCTCTGTTGTACCATTTTCCAATCACGTAAAAAACCTTGGCCTTTACATTGACAGCAACCTTAATTGGAATCACCAGGTGAGTGAGGTCAGCAGAAAAGTCATTGCTGCCTTACGGTCCTTATATAGATTTAAAAATTTTCTACCGGTCAGTACTAAATGTCTTTTGGTGCAGTCACTGATATTGCCTATAATTGACTATGGTGATGTGTGCTATCCGAATCTTAACCAAGACCTTCTAAATAAAATGGATCGTTTACTCAATAATTGCATACGCTTCATATTCGGTCTTCGTAAGTATGACCATATCTCACACTTCCGCTCTGAGCTGAAATGGCTTCCTATCCGCCAGCGCAGGAGTGTTAGAATTCTCTGTCAACTCTTTTCTGTCCTATACGATCCTCTAGCTCCTCAGTATCTCAAAGATAGATTTCTATTTCTAAGTTCATCACACTCTCGTGATCTTCGCTCATCTTCTAATCTCCTGCTGTATACTCCTTCTCATCGTTCTAACTTCTCATCCCAATCCTTCACTATTTCTGCTATTAATCTTTGGAATGCACTTCCTGTTGACCTCAGAAGATGTCAAACCAAATTTTCCTTAAAGAGATCCTTGCGTGAACACTACTTGAAATTCTTATAGCAATATTCATACAAACCACTGTCTCAAGATATATGTCATGAAATCTTATATATTGTATATTTATTATAGTTTAATATTATATTTAAATTGTATGATAATTATTATGCTTATATATTTCGCTTTATTTATGTAATTATATAATTTTAGAAGTATATTTGTACGTTTATATATATATATATACACCTATATACATATTTTTTTTCTGTATTAATCTATTTAATACTTGTAAAATTGCACCGCTATACTATCTCTGATCAACGCGTCGGTTGACTGGTAGAGAATGCCATCAGGCATTAAGTCCGCCATGTATACAATTTTGTGTGCAAAAGAATAAATAAATAAATAAATAAACTCCCCACTGCGCCGCGCTCTGCAGAAGCAGATCTTGGGCGCGCGCGCAGTGGTTGAGATTCCCCTGCAGGAGGTGATGGACTGCCATTATTAACCGGTGTCCATCACCTCAGCCTCTCCCCGGCGGCCATTGCCGCGGGCCGACGACAGTGCGGATCCCCTCGCTCTCTTGGACCGGGACTGGGGGCACTTTTGGCCCCCACCCGGTGATCGGCTGGGCGACCCGCCGCTGCGCATACCACGCAGTGTGGAGTCGCCATGCACCCAGCCGCTTTGTGGCCGGGTTCTCCACACCGGTAGCATAAGCCACTCCGGTCCTCCTCGTGCGAGCACCTTGCCAACACGTGCCCGCTCTCGAGGCACCGATAGCACCGGAGCGGCTTCTGCCGCAGCAGTTCCGCAGCAGCGGTCACCCAGCCGATCTTGATCCGGCCTGCCGTCGTAATCCGCTTGACCGCGGCTAGTGGGGCCCGCACCCAGCAGGTGCCCAGGCCTGACGCGCCTCGTCGAATTTCTCCGACCTTAACGGCGGCCGCCGCACACTCGCCCTGCTGGGCTACGGCGGCTGCCACCTCTTCCCCGTCGGTACCGTCGTCCAGGCCCATCACTCTCATTTCGGCCGTTTTGACGGGCCTGGAGATGCGGACGGTATCCGCCGGGAAAACCTCTTGGAATTTCGACGCAAGCGCGTCGGCCTGTTCTCCCGTCTGGGACCCTGGTATTTCCAGTATACGGGCCCCAGTAGCCGCGGTCTTAAAGCGTAAGCTTCCAATCCCCAAGGAGGCGAGGTCTATTTTGCTCTTCGCCTCCTTGAGCACATCCGTGTACGTCAGCCCGCCAGCCTCCGCCCCGGAGCGAGGGTAACAACCACAGCCGCAGATCGCGGCGCACGCAGTTTGGACGGTGATGGCGGGGTCTGCTTGCTCTTCTTCCCCTGAGAGGCAGCCCCAGAGCTCCTCTGTGTGCTCTGGGTGCTTTGAGTCTGTCTCTCGGGGACGGTGCGGGTTTTACTGCCCCGTTTCACCACCGTGTTCCCCCCTTCTTGCGCGCGTCCCCCGCCCGCCGGGCCCGGCTGCTGCCCGTCGGAAACCGGCCGGGGGGGGGGCTGACGCTTCTCCAGACGTGGGAAGTCTGCACCCCGACTTCCCTGCAGATGGGGAGCGTCCCTAAATCCTGGTCCCCCTGCGCCAGGCAGACGTGACAGAACCTCGTACTGCCCGTCGCTTTGAAGTGGCGGGCGGTACTCAGGGCGGATAGTCGGCGCCGGGGAGGACTTGTCCAGAAGTGCCCGCAACTGGATGAAGCCCTTCCTCATCTGTTCCTCCACCTGGGCCGAAATTAAGCGGCCGGCCGACTCCAAGATATCCGCCCTGAATGCCTCGACATCACTCGGCGCAGGAACCGGGGCTGTGACGCTCACCTTCGCCGGTTCCTTTGAAGCCGAGGGGGCAACTGAAGGAGTCCGGAGCCCAGACCCTCCCCTGATGAGCAGATTAATTTGCTTGCGAAGCTCCACATTTTCTTTGCGGAGCTTCTCAAGGTCCGCCATTACCTTACTCCTTTCTGCTGCCCAAGAGGAGAAGGTCTCGTCCACGGTAACACTCGGGTCCAACCTTTCCGTCATAATTAGGATGCTTCCGAGGTCCTCCTTCAGCTTCTTTGTATCGACCCCCTTGATATTGCGGCACTTGTCAATGGTCGCCAAGGCCGTGCACAGCTTGCTCTTTGCCTCCGCCCTGTAGACAGTGATCGCTGCCGGCTCCTTTGGGGATGGCTTGCTGCACATCACCTCTTTAGGACGAGCGAATACCACATCATCAAGGGGGCTCTCCCCCTGCAGACTGCTTTGCCGTGACACAGCCGGCGGCGAATTAGGTCCTTTCGCACTCTGAACATTGAGGGGCGCCCCCTTCCGGTTCGACGGACAGGGTATTTTGGAGGGCTGAACCCCGCCACCCACCGTCACGGAGGGGCCCGACCCATCCGTATGTGGCCGTTTAGCGACAGCCGCCCTCGTGAGCCCGTCGTCGCGGGATACCAAACACCCGGACAACTCGTCCTCCACAAGTATGGAGCGCGTCGAACGCGTCGATCGCGTTGACGACGCCGATGACGGACGAGATGCCCGTGACCTGGGCCGCGAGACGGGCCTCGACCTCGCCGATTGATCCTCCATTTCCAAATCCGCCTCGGTTACTGAGTCTGACATGGACCAGAACTCAGCAGACCAAGGGGGCGGAAACTCCTCATTACCCCCCCCCGGGGAACGGGAGACAGTAAGCTTGGTGCCTTTTTTTTTTTTTTTTTTAACGTGTGGAAAAATCTTCAAAAGACCGTCACCCCGCCGGAGGGATGGCGAGGTGGTGTGTGGGACTTGTACCCACTAAAAAACCACACGGTGTACCTACGAGCGCCTATGCCGGAGCCAGGGGATCGCGAGTGCATTCTACCCCAGCTCCGACGGCGACGGCCCGCCCTGTAGATGTTGTAGGGCAGGCCCCATCTCGTTTTGTGGTTAGGGCGACCTATTTCGCCCTACTCCATTGTGGAGGCGTGTGGGTACACGCGCACACCTCCGGGGCCTTTGGATTGGGGGACTGCCTCCCTCAAGGCAGTCACCCCGGCCCCAGTGGGGGATAGAGGGGGACGGAGTTGGATACGCTCCCACCTCTAGGCCTGGCTCTTCTGCGGCGGAGGGAAGCGGGACGAGCTGACTCCCGCTCCCTTTCCGCCGCCTCCTTCCGCGAGATAACTTCCTCGCAGAATGAGCTCACCGCCAGCCACGATCTCTCGCTACTGATCATCCTCCGAACTAAATTCGGCAGCGAGAGATCGTCCCCCACTATTCGTGTGAGGACACGGCGCTCACTCTCAAACGCTGGACATATTTCCAGCGTGTGTTGCGCCGTGTCCTCAACACCTCCGCACTCGTGGCAGCCGGTCGTCGGCTCCTTCCTCGCCACATGACACAGATACCGCCCGAAGCAACCGTGCCCGGACAATATCTGTGTCATGCGGTACGTCAGTGGCCATCGCCTACTCATCCACATCCTGAGGATGGGACGGACAGTCTCGACGGTCCTCAGGCCGGTCGATGGACTGGCCAGCCTTTCTCTCCACCTGATCCTGAGAATCCGCCGAAAGTCGGACCTCCGTGCTCCAATCTCGTGGCCAGCGGATGCCTCCCCCATGGAACGTCGCTCCGCGCGCCAGTGATACACTGACGCGTGGAGCTCCGCTACCAAGTCCCACGGAGGAGACCCCGCCAGCAGACCCGCCGCTTCCCCGGATATGGTGCGGTAGCCTCTTATGGCCCGTATGGCCATGACCCTGTGTGGCCTGTTGAGGCAGGCCACATTTTCCCTACCTAGGGCCCCCACCCAGATGGGGGCCCCGTACAGGGCCATGGACCGCACCACGCCGAGGTATAGGCGGCGGGAACCTTCTCCCGGGCCCCTCACATTTGGCAGCAGCCAGCTAAGAGCGCCGGCGGCTGCCATAAGGCGAGGGACCAGGTTCCGGAAGTGAGCGCGGAAGCTCCAACGACTGTCCAGGTCAAGCCCCAAGTATCGAATACAAGGCTTGACCCCCACCGTCTGGCCACTGACGACCAGCTGGGCATCCGGAGGTGGCGCACGCCGAGGCCCATGAAAACACAGGACCTCGGTCTTCTCCAGCGCCACCTGGAGCCCAAGCCTTCTTATACGACCGACGACCAGCGCCACGCATGCCGTGGCAAAGCGGGTAGCCTCCCATAGGTCCCGCCCCCGGGCAGTGACCAAGGTGTCATCCGCGTAACACACGAGGTCAGTGCCCGTTAAAAGGGCGCCCCGCAGGTTCCAATCATACCCGATGTTCCACAGGATCGGGCCCAGAACCGACCCCTGTGGAACACCGCGTTGCATTTCCCTCGGCACTACAACGCCGTTCCGCCCCGGGCATAGCACAGACCTGTCTTCGAGGTAGGCCCCGATCACGTCCCGAATGTAGGGAGGCGCGCGATGGTATTTCAGCGCCTCCCTAATAGTCGCAAAGGGCAGGGTGTTGAAGGCGTTCTTAATGTCTAGAGAGACCGCCAACAACACCCCACCCTGGGACGTCGCCTCTTCCGAGAGGGAGCGCACACGCGAGATCGCGTCGATCGTCGAGCGCCCCTCTCGGAACCCGAACTGCTTCGGGCTGAGATCGGGACCTACCTGAGACAGGTGTTGGACGAGTCGGCCCGCCAAGATTCGCTCGAAGAGCTTGCCGATCTCGTCCAACAGTACTATGGGGCGGAACGCCGAGGGAACCACCGAACCTGCGGGGTGCTCCGCTTTGCGGAGCAGGACCACTCTACCCGCTTTCCACTGTTTGGGAAACCGTCCCGACTCCAGACACGCGTTGAACAAGCGCCGGAGTCGGTCCCCTAGGGTGTTTAGGGCCAAGGCCAGGACGCGGCCGTGGATACCATCCGGACCCGGGGCGACATTCTTGCCCCGGAGTTTATCCACGGCCGCGGCGAACACCTCCTCGGTAATGGCAGGAACCGCAGCAGCGCTGACGCCGCTGGCCTCTCCATCACTGCCACGCGGCATGATCGGAGGAGGTGTGAAGGAAGGCTGTCTCGGGAACAGCTCCTCCAATACCCCCTCCAGCTGCTGCGGCTGGAGACCTTCTGCCACGGGGGGCGCCCAGGGGCGTAATTTGCCCCTGACGAACCTATAAGGGCGCCCCCATGGATCCCTGTCCAGGGTCTCCAGGAGTTCTTCCCTGGCTGTCTCCTTGGCCCTGCTGATGGACAGCTGCAGAGCTTTCTTCCTCTCTTTGTACTGCTCGTACAGCTGTGCTTCCTCGTCGGCGTCGCGGCCCCGCCTGAGTCGGCGGTGCCTGGTGTACCGGCGGCGGGCGGCGGAGCACTCCTCCCTCAACGCCGCTATCTCCTCCGACCACCAGTACACCTGACGCCTAGGAGGTCGAGGGCCGGCTCGGGGCATCGCCGCGTCGCAAATGTGCGACAGAGCCTCACCGAACCAGCCCACCTCTACGTCGACCTCCACAGGCCCCTCCGGTATTGGAACCCAGGCCTGGACGATGGAAGCCTCCATCAGCACGTCTTTATTCAGACGTTTCAACACCCATCTGGGGAGTTGTGGGACATTCCTCTCCTGGCGACCGGGGTGCGGAGCTACGGGTGAGGGGAGAACGTCTATCCGAATGTAACGATGATCGGATAGCGTCTCCACCTCATCCAACACCTGCCAGCTCCCCACCCTCTGTGCGATCGCTGGACTGCAGAGGGATACGTCGACATGCGACTCCCCCTGCTGTCTCACGCACGTGGCGGCCGACCCTCGGTTCAACACCACCAGGCCGGCCGCGGCCGCCCAGTCTTCCAGGACCCTGCCTCGAGAGTCGGTGATGGGGGAGCCCCATGCCGTGGATTTGGCATTGAAGTCCCCCATCACCATCATTGGACGGGCCGAGTATAGCTCCAGAGCGGCCCCCAGCCCGTCCATGAACTGCTCGAACTCGGCGAGAGTCCTGTTCGGAGAGAAGTATGTCCCGACAACGACGGTTTCCCCCCACCTCACACCTATGTACCCCGCTCCGCCGAATAGGCGGCTGACGAGCGGGGTCGCGGGGTTGCCCGCGCCGACAATGGCCACCAGGCCAGAGGGGTCGCCGAACCAATGGTCGCTTCGTGGGACGCGATATGGTTCGGCGACCACTGCAAGGTCAACTCCCCACTGCACCGCGCTCTGGGGATGATTACCGGTCCGGGAAGCAAGCTGAACAAGGGTGACACGGCGACCATCAGCGCGCTGGGGTAGGAGATAGTCGCCATCGTGGGGGCTATGGACGTCCGAGTGGCGGAAGCTGAGCTCGACGCGAGTCGGGCCGAGCTCCGCTGCGAGGAGCTCCGGACTGCCCTCGCCAAGGCTGCCGCGGGAGCGATGGCCTCTGGCACGGGAGTCGGGGCAGCGTCCTCTTCTGCGTCGGCACCATCATCGGGACCATTGAGTTACGCCAACACGTTGCGGCTCAATCAAAAGAGCAGGGGTACTCCCGCGCAATCGGTGCAGCAGCACCAGATTGCCTCGGGGCCCGTCCTCGTGTTCTACCCCACGGAAGAGGCGGCCCCGGAGCTGAAGACGGCCGAAGACACCAAGAGAGTACTGAAGAAGGCGGTTCGGCCCAAAGACCTTAATGTGCAGGTGGAGAGGGTAAGGAAGGTCGGTAACGCCGGCGTTGCGGTATAGACTACCAATAAGGAGGCGGCGGAGCGTCTCAGGAAAGCAGCCCCAGTGGCTCTTAGGGTTACTGAACCCAAATCGAGGCGGCCATTGGTGGCACTAAGAGGTTTTACTTCAGATGTCAAATGGGAGCATATTGTAGGGGGTTTAGTGGAGCAGAATTTGAGCGGCACTGAATGGGACACCAAGAAGGTAAAGGCTAACGCCGAGCTGGCCTTTAAGAAGGGATGGAGGGATAGCCAAAACACCACGGCGGTCGTGCGTTGCAGTGCCGGCCTTAGAGACGTGTTGGTTGCGCGGGAGCGGCTTTACATCGGGTGGGATGTAGTCACTCCAGGTGACTACATCGACGTCACCTGCTGCCAAAAGTGCCACCAATATGGCCATCCGGCAAAATACTGTCGGGCCTCGGTCGTCACCTGCGGAAGGTGCGGAGAAGCCGGACATGCGCGGGACAAATGCGCATCCGCCAGTAGGCGGTGCGCAACGTGTCATAGATTCGGCCGTAAAGACGCCGCGTCGCACGGAACGATGGATAGGTTATGCCCGGCTAGAATCCACGCCGAACAGCGGGCTGTAGAAACCACGAAATATGGCTCATAATCGCGCATTAGGTTTAGGGATCGGTCAAATAAACCTGGGGGGGTCGGAGCTGGCGACTCGAGAACTACCACGGATAGTGGAAGACCTAGGCCTCACTGTAGATCTGTAGATCGAGGTCGCCCATCCGGAAGATCCACTACAGGATGGGCGACCTCGACACCCACCAACAGCCGGCTGAACTCGCCAAGGACTTCACCAGCATCATCACGCGATGCGCCAGGGAATGTCTCGGGGAGAAGAAGGAGATAGGAGGAGTGGGCTACGAATGGTGGAGTCCGGAACTGGACCGTCTTCGTAGACTTGCATCGAGAGCAAGGAGGGCCTGGCAAAAGACCAAAGTCAGAGGGGGTAGTTTAGAATCTTACACTAA